CTCTTTCTCTTTCTCTCTCTCCTCCCTCTCTTGTCTGATCAAATGAAATAATAACAACAAATGGAAACAAATAAATAATTCTTTAAAAAAAAGAAAAAAAGAGGAGGAACCCAGAAGCCATGCTGCTTGGGTTCGAATCCTCGGTTCACCACTTACCAGCTTTGTACTTGTCCTGGTTATCTCATCTGTAAAATGGGTTCAGTAACTCAGTGTCAATCTCAGAGAGTTCAAAGGATTTAATGACTAAATACTTTTGGCCTTTGAACGGTGCCTAGAGGCCTAGAGGTGGTGGTTGACAAGGTGGGGATGGCAGACTGGGCCAGTAGGTGGTGACAGCATTGGGAACCAATGTGGAAGAGAGGCCAGGCCAGTGAGCCAACGGTGCTCCCAGGACGGGCAGCAGGTCTGAAGCTGTAGGTTTCACTGGAGCCGGCGGCTGGCATCCCCTGTGGCATACCTGAGAGGTCCCCTCGGAGGGACATAGTTTGGTCTGGGACTAAGGAAGGGGTGCATCAGAAGGGGCAGGAAGGCCAGCCCAGCCAGGAAATGCCCCACCTGCTGGCCTGAGGCAGCCTCCGCCCGTGACCTGGTCACCATCAAGTGTCCCTGCAGCATAGCCACAAGTGCAGATGGGGTGCCGGGCTCCCCCAGAGCCTCTCCCAGGAGACCAGGTTCTTGGGACCTCTTGCGGCTGTCTGGGGTCCCTTCTGTGGGTACCGCGGCATGGTGGTGGCCGAGGCGGCTCCTCAGGCTTTGTCTTGGTGTGCCGTCTGCTCCAAGGGCCGGGTCATCCTTGGTCTTTCGGAGTTTTCTCCTGAGAACGTGAGATTAGCAAACTCAGGAAGGGATCTGCTCTTGTGGCCAGAATATAGAAGGTCACCGTGGGACAATTCACTCATTTCTTTTTCATTATCAAGTTCACATTTGGAAACTCTGGAAGCTGCTCTTTGAGAGCCAGCCCACTGACTCCCAAGGACGTGAGGCTCCTCGTCTGCCCCTCCTGCCCTGTTCCTGGAACACGGGCTCTCCAACTGCTGCATGACCAGGGTGGAACCCCAGGATCGGGGAGGGACGGGGACCCCAGCTCGGGGAATCAGCAATCCCAGTGATAGCCAGGCAGATGCTGGAGCCAGATGGCCCTCCTGTATACTGCAGTGCTGGTCTTTATACACCTGTAGGGTTTTTTTTTTTTTTAATTATTATAATAAACATTTAATGCTTTCTAAACTAAAAGGAGGAAGTGAATAACTGAACTTTAAAAAAGAAGACAAAAATCTACCCAAAGAAAGAAAGAATAAGTGGGGTTTGTGCTTTATGGTATCTCGCAAGTCCGTGAGCTCAGCAAGCATTTCGGGGTTGGTGCTAATCATGAATTCCAAGGCTAACTTGTTTTGTTTGTTTGTTTGTTTGCTTTTGTTGTTTGGTGTTTTTTTGTTTGGTTGGTTTTTTGAGAGTTTTCTTTTTCCTATACGGTACATGCGCTTGCCAGAAAGAGAGCAAGAGACAGAGAGACAGAAAGCGAGAAATCACCCCTCAGGGGGATGGTCACGCTGCAATCCCTTCTCCTCCATTCTCCTCTTGGGATCTTGGGCATGCACGCACACACACCCGTCCTGCATTTAAGCCACCAGGTCTGGGACTCGAACCACGGTTGACTACATGGGAGTCCCGCGACATAGCCATTACACTAACTGCTGGTCCCTCATTGTCAAGAATTTGAACAGTTGGTGCATGGCTGGAAGGTGACCAGATTCTAGTGAAGCTCAGTGTATGTATGGATTCGATCCTACACCATCGATCATAGCCCCACTTCTCAGCTCTGAACCCCTTTTTCATTCAGGAGTTTTACAAGAGCAGACATCACCATGGGCCTGTACTGGGGGCGGCGCACTCTTACTGCAGGCCAGGGGCCTCCTTGGTGGGCGTGGTGTAGCCCTCAGGAGACCTCAGTGCGAGAGAGTTGCCCAGGGCTGGCACTTTCTGGAATTTGGTGCGTTCATGGGGTATAGTAATACTGTATAGCTTTTTAACTCCCAAATTCACCCAGTTAATAATTTTTTAAAGTAGACATTAATATTTGTCCTTTTTTTCGTTAGTCATATTTGAAAGAGTAGAAAATTGAGTTACTGTGTCATTTTGTCCAAAGCTGTCTGTTCACTCAGTTATGCTTTCATACGAAGGTTTGATTTTTACCATTTCAATCAATCTTTCAGGGAAGATAGCTGAAGTTTCCAAATACTTTATAAGCGTATCCCAGACACCTCTAACGTGGCCATGTCCAATTTATGAATACTGCAGATTGGGAACAGTGCCGTTCAGGGGATTAGGAGAGACCCTGTATCCCCCGATTTGTGTGTGCGCGCGTGTGGGCGTGGCTCCCAGAAAACCACTTGGAAACTGACCACTTTTTAAATCCTCTGTGTAGTTCAAATGCCTTGCCTTGACCAATCTAATGAGTTGATTAACTGGGCCTTTATACTTAACTACGTAAAAAACTAAGCAGGCGTGAGTTAAAGAAAAAGTTTCAATTTATTGCTCAGTGTACCTGTTGCTATTATATTTAACAGTCGTCTGCCTGCCGAAATCTTTTTGCTTGTGACTTACATCTACTCGAACTATGAAGCCAGCCATGTGGTTCGAGTCCTGGACCTGACAGCTTTAAAAACCCACCGGGCACGTGTGCGTGCGTGCCCAAAACCCCAAAAGGAGAATGGAGGAGAAGGGATTGCAGCGTGGCCATCCCCCCTGGGGGTTGATTTTGCAATCTCTCTCTCTCCAGCAAGCGCACGCACCCTAAGACAAAAAACCTGAAAAAAAAAAAAAAAAAAAAAAGAAAGAAAGAAAAAGGAAAAAGAAATTAATGCATGCTGAACATGTATTTAATTTATTTTCTCTCCTGCTTGCTTTTTCTAGGTGCTTATGAACAAGTAACAGAGCTCATGGGGTTGTATTTCTTACTATTTAAAAAAAAAAACAGCATTATACTAGATAACAGATAGTACATATTTTACCTAATCATACTTTTGATACTCTATTTTAAGGACTAAATCTGCACACACATATGCAGGTTGGACAAGAGGATAGCTATCACTACATTTTTTTTTAAAGAGGTTTTTGCTATAGGGCACGTGCACTCGCCAGACAGACAGAGAGAGACAGAGAGACAGAAAGCAAGAAATCACCCCCCAGGGGGGATGGTCACGCCGCAATCCCTTCTCCTCCATTCTCCTCTCGGGATCTTGGGCCCGCACGCACAAGCACCACCAGGACTTGAACCACGGTCGACTACATGGGAGTCTAGCGACATAGCCATTACGCTAACTGCTGATTCCCCCTGCAGGAGCTTTTTGAAGTTCTCTTGTACACTCCAAGCAAAATGATGCCCAATAGCCCAGATCACAGCCACTGTGTCCCATGGACTCTGAAATAGCAGTGCCTGGACACGAACACCAGCATCACCTCACTCCATATGCACACTGCCCTTCTGACAGTTGTATAAGGGCCACTCAGGCAGTGTGGGGAACCCCTAGATTTTAAGATGAGTGAGCACTGAGAAATCACCCCCCAGGGGGGATGGCCACGCCGCAGTCCCTTCTCCTCCATTCTCCTCTCGGGATCTTGGGCACGCACGCACACGCGCCCGGTGTGAGTTTTAAGCCACCAGGTCCGGGACGCGAACCGCGGCCGACCACACAGGAGTCCAGCGACATAGCCATTATGCTAACTGCTGGTCCCTACATGTTTTAATAACAAGGAACGGTCCCAATTGAATTTTCCAACAAAACGGGATTGGTTAGCTAGGTGATCCGTTGATTCGTGATTGGACCCAGTGAGGCAATTGCGCGCTCAGTAAATGCAGTACCTTGGGTGTGGCCTGAGCATCGTGGCCTCGGTGTAGACGGACCCTGACCGGCGAGTAACTCCCTGTCTCTGGCTTGCCTTGCAGTGCTTCGCAGTGCGCTCCCTGGGCTGGGTGGAGATGGCGGAGGAGGACCTCGCCCCCGGGAAGAGCAGTGTCGCGGTCAACAACTGCATCAGGCAGCTCTCCTACTGCAAAAACGACATCCGAGACACCGTGGGCATTTGGGGCGAGGTGAGTATTGGAGGTCGCGGCGGGAAGACTTCTTCACATCCCCTTGGTTCCCCCAGAGCGCAATGAGGCGTGGACGCCGGGGTTTCCGAGGTGTTGTCCAGGTGCATCTTCCCACAAGGACAGGTGGTGTAGACGTAGCACACTCGGGCCATTTACTCCCACTCCCAGATCCCAGGAGGACTGGGGCCCTGGAGAACGCACTTCTCGGGAGCTAAGTGACAGGCTCTGATTGGGGTCACCGAGTCCACGGATTCAGGGGTAACCTTCAGGGGCCCAGAACCTCTTTTTTTTTTTTTTTTTTTTTGAGAGGTTTTTGCTATAGGGTGTGTGTGCTCGCCAGACAGAGAGAGACACAGAGATAGAAAGCGAGAAATCACCCCCCAGGGGGGATGGCCACGCTGCAATCCCTTCTCCTCCATTCTTCTCTCGGGATCTTGGGCACGCACGCACACGCGCCCGGCGTGAGTTTTAAGCTATCGGGTCCAGGAGGCAAACTGTGGTTGGCTACGTGGGAATCCAGCGACATAGCCATTATGCTAACTGCTGGTCCCACCATTAGCCTTTTTTGGTAAAGATTTGAAAGCGCCAATCATTAAAAATAAGAGCTAACTGGAGACCAGGTGCGGGACATGCTTCAGAGGACCTGGAGCAGGAGGGAGAGATTGGGTGTGGGTGAAGGTGAAGGACAGGTGACCACGTCAGGCCGGAGAGGTGCTTCTCTCTTAGGAAACACACCACAGACCCAGGGTGGCTTCCTTCGGTCCTTGCGACGGCACTGCCAGGTCGCCACGCCCGCGGTCAGGTGCAGAGCCTGCACGAGGAAGACGGCATGTTTTCTCGCTGACTCCAGGGCAAGGACATGTACCTCATTCTGGAGAACGACACGCTCAGCCTGGTGGACCCCATGGACCACAGCGTGCTGCACTCCCAGCCCATCGTGAGCATCCGCGTGTGGGGCGTGGGCCGCGACAACGGCAGGGGAGTCGGCGGGGCGCCGGGGCCCGGGCTGGGTTCTCATGGCACTTCCCCGCCTGCCAAACCGGACAAGGGACTCTGCTAGACACTTAGTCAAAGACTGAAGCCCCTCTCTTCTCCCTGGCCTCCCAGCTACTTCTCTTCTCAGATCCTGCACCCCAAACTCTGCATTCCTTTCTCCTCCGGACCAGCGTTTTTCACCCAGAAAGTCTGACCCCCGTGCCCTCTCCTCTTCACGCGTTTTGGAACCGACGCCCTTTCATTCTGTGCAGTCCTAGTCGTTGGGCAATGTTCTCTCGTATCTCCCTCAGAGAGCACTTGCTGGAACGGAGGGGCGATCCGGCCTTTGGTCACAGTCATTCAGCCATGATGGGCAGGAATTTCAGGGGTTTGGAATAGGCTAGGCTTTTTTAATGCTTGAAAACTCGTACCAGTATTCTCAGTGTGTGTGTTTCTGAAACCCTGATGCATCTTTGTTATTTACAAGAAATGCCTCTTCCTTAGGGGTGCTGGGATTTTTCCCTGATCCAGGATGATTGGCAAGAAGGAAGTTCTGGTTTTCAGCACTTGTTCTCGCTAATAAAATGGCAATTGTAGCCCTCGGACGTGGGGATTGGGGCGAGGTCACTGGGGTGCGGTCACTGTGGTTCGCGGCTGAGCTACGGTCAATCTTTGGTGGTGTCTAAGGTATTGGAGGAACTCCCAGCATGTCAGGATCAACTCGAGCATCACTAGTTACTGCTTTACTGAAAATGGGCAAGATCATTGCAGAGTGGATGAACATCCCAGATGGCAGAAAGATGGCTCTCTCGTGTTTGTGGTTCGATTCCTGGACATTCTGGGTTTTTTTAAAGAGATTTTTGTTATAACGCATGTGCGCTCACCAGAGAGACAAAGAGAGACAGTGAGTGAGAAATCTTCTCCCATAGGGGATGGCCATGCCGCAATCCCTTCTCCTCCAGTCTCCTCTTGGGATTTTGGGCACACATGCACACGTGCCTGGCGTGAACAACCAGGTCTGGGACTTGAACCGCTGTGGACTACATGGGAGTCCAGCAACATAATCACTACGCCATCTGCTGGTCCCCATTCTGGTTTTTTATAGCGTTTTGAGGTGGAAAGTTGGGCTACCTTTTGTCTACCAAGGCCAGATATTAGCACATTTGATTGGCAAGTCTTGAAGCAGGAAAGAAGGATTATGGTAAGTGTTCTTCCCTCAGAAAACAAGCATATGCACCGGGGCCAGGCATGAGAAACACTCTGCAAAATAGAGGGCTGGGGGGAGAGACGCCTTCTTGGAGCAGGTGTGTCTTTGGCCTTCTGTCTCAGAGTGGTGAGCAGTGACGTCTAAGCCGGGTGGCGTGGGGAGCAAGCGGACAGAGGACGGGCACACACCTGGTGCCTTGCTTGGCAGAGCCGTAGCACTGGGGCTGGCATCCTACAAAGCGCTGGGCCGACGCTGTTTGGCCGCTACATACACATGAAGCCTTGCTGGAAGGCCCTTGATGTGAAATGCTCGGTCCTCCTCGGATTCCTGCCCTCCAAGTGTGTTTTTAAGGCAGAAGCCAAGGCGGAGATCATTGGCCACTGTACAGTTGGAGGAGGTTGTTTTCTTAGAGTCAGGCTGTTCGTGGACTTCATGGATAAGGTTTTCAGCCCACCCCAACTCTTAAAGGAAGCCAAATGTTTCCTGTCCTCGGAGGGGAGGAGGGGATGATTCACTCTTCCACTGACAAAGTTATGCAAGCGTTCTGAGCCTCAGTTTCTCCCATCTGTGACATGGAGAACATACCAAGGGCCTTAACATACGTGTAAACATGCACGCGTGTAATAATCATCATGGTGACTTGGCATAGTAAAATGCCTGGTGATTGTTTGAAGCACTTCAGCTAGCAGATGGAGCTCATGGTGGCTTCTTCGAGGACAGTGGGGGCAGAGAGGAGGCGGACCTCAGGTAGGCCTCCAGAACAGTTTATCCTGTGATATAGAGGACCAGAGGCTGTGCGGACACTAACGAGTATTAGGCCGGAGGCCTGGGCAGCGTGGACGTAGGGGTTGGACGCCATGCCACAGTCAGCTGGTGCAACCCAGTTCTAGTCTGTCATCAGTTCTAGTCTGTCATCAGTTCTAGTCTGTGCTGTACTCAGCTCTAACCCGGATGTAGCACACGGCGCTCTGCTCTGCACACGGCGCTCTGCTCTGCACACGGCGCTCTACTCTGCACACGGCACCAGACCCTACTTGGCACGGTAATCTGCTCTCCCCCTAAACCATTACCATACATGGACTGTCTCTACCTCTAAGACACTCCCCCTCCCTATACCCTTATAGAAATCACTAAGCCCAGCCCCAGGGCACGATTTCTCTGCGCCCCCCACTTCTGTCGGACCAGCACACCTCGCTGGGCCTGGGAGCATTCCCAATAAAGGCTCTACATTTCTATTTTCTCGTGTGGTCGGCCTATTCCTTACAGTGAGTTCATGCACCCTGCAAACCAGGAAGAGCCCTCCCCTCCAAAGATGGCATGTCAATTAGGATGCCTTGCCTTGGTGGTTTCTGAATTGTGGCCCAATAACTCATGTTTTTAAATCCCTCCCTTGTTTTGAAAATAAATGTTGGTATACGGCGCATGTGCTGAGGTAGAGTGACTTGTAGGGGGGATGAGAAAGTACCCCCCCGGGGGGATGTCTATGCCACAGTCCTTTCTCCAGTATCTTCTCAGCATTTTAGGTGTGCACTCACACACACATGTGTATGTCCACAGAAAATAACCAACTCTTAAAAATTAATAATTAATGCGGTTTATTTCCAAGCAGTGTATGAGTGACCTAGGTCTGGAGAGGAGGCAACACAGGCCTTTCTCTCAGGGTGATCAGGGACAGGGGTTCCTTTTATTTGATTTTGAGAGTGAGAGACAGAATTGGGAATTTAGCGTAAAGTTTTTCCATTGGTCTAGCCCAGGTGGGACATGTGGAAGAGGGAGGCTTGTAGGTTATAGGTGGGTTTTACAACTTTTAGGGTGGTGATTGGAAAAGGAAGGTTGCTGAGATCAGAAAGAAATGGGGACCTAGCAGATGGCCTAGTGGCTACATCACTGGACTCCCATGTAGTCAACCGCGGTTCAAGTCCCGGACCTGGTGGCTTAAACTCATGCTGGGCACATGTGTGTGCATGTCCAAGATCCCGAGAGGAGAATGGAGGAGAAGGGATTGCGGTGTGGCCATCCCCCCTGGGAAGTGATTTCTCGCTTTCTGTCTCTCTGTCTCTCTCTGTCTTTCTGGCAAGGGCAGACGCCCTATAGCAAAAACCTCTCCAAAAAATTTTTTTTTAAATTTATTTTTTAATGAATGTACTTTAACAGAGATAAGGAGACTTAATATACATCACAAAGATAATTCTATACTATGTCAAGGGCAGGATATAGGAAGAATCCTGTTACTAATGGGCCAAAATGGTCAGTCAGTATCTAGAGCCAGACTCCCCCAGGCACTCTGGAAAGGACTTTGGAGAAACAAAAAAGCACAGGTGCTCACCTGAATTTTTTTCTAGCTGCAGAGTTAGCCATGATGGAGCCAGCCACCTCAACCATAACGCCACTGGCTCGCCATTAAGTCCTTTGTTAAACTGACTGGCTGTTAGCAGATAAGTATGATTTAGAAATACACTCGGTGGGGGGGGGTGACCAGCAGTTAGCGTAATGGCTATGTCTCTGGACTTCCATGTAGTCGACCGCGGTTCGAGTCCCAGACCCAGTGGCTTAAAACTCACACCAGGTGCGTGTGCGTGCGTGCCCAAGATCCTGAGAGGAGAATGGAGGAGAAGGGATTGCGGCCATCCCCCCTGGGGGGGGGGGGGATTTCTCGCTTTCTGTTTTTCTGTCTCTCTCTCTCTGTCTGGCGAGCGCACACGCCCTATAGCAAAAACCTCTCCAAAAAAAAGAAATACACTCGGGGTTCTACATAGGTTTTCAAGACTTCAGCAATATGTGGGGGCCCCTGAGCTGAGTGGCTTGGGGAAGCAGTAAATAAGGAAGGCTATTTGCCACTGAGAGGTTGTATTACTCCCCAGTGGGGTTCCTGTTTTTATTCTCTAGAAGAGGTCTTTGTATTCCTGCCTTTTTAACTTTCCTTTGCTTTTGATTCTTTTTTTTTCTTAACAGCAATTTACAAGAGCAAATTCAATTTGTAATGCTGCGAAGGAAAAGGGTTTTCACTTTGCATGAATAAAACATAAAAGTGTTTCATTTTACTTGTGAAAATGAGTCCATTTCGCATTCTCTTTTGTACGTTTCCTTGCTGAGAAAGTGGAATCACTTTGGGAATTTCTTGATGTGGTTAAAATGAATCAGGGAAGTGTGTATCCCAGACTGGAAGGGCAGAAAATCTTCCTTAAAATCTAGACCACTTCACATGAGCCATGTTATTTCAGAATGTAGGAAAGTAATTGGGATTTGGCACTTTATTAATGCATTCACCTAATCATGATTGGCTTTAAAGACATTCTTTATGGAACCAGCAGTTAGTGTAAGGGCTGTGTCGCTGGACTCCCATGTAGTCGAGTCCAGGACCCCGTGTCTTAAAACTCACGCCGGGCGCGTGTGCGTGCGTGCCCAAGATCCCGAGAGAATGGAGGAGAAGGGATTGCGGCGTGGCCATCCCCCCTGGGGGGTGATTTATCTGTCTGGCGGGTGCACGCGCCTTGTAGTAAAAACCTCTCAAAAAAAAAAAAAGACATTCCTTGTGGGGTAAGTGACGCCCCCTACTGAACCCTCTTTAAAAAAAGGCAGCACACGTCTCTTGAGATAAACAGAAAAAGAAAATTAAGGAAGTTAAAAAGAAGTAAAAACAAAGATATCAGAATAAAATACACAAATATAAAAGAAAAGAGGAGAGAGGGGAGAGGGAAGAGAGAAGAGGGGAAAGGAGAGGAGAGGAGGGAGGGGAGGGACGGGGAGGGGAAGAGAGAAATATCAGGCCATTGAGAAGGTCATGACATATTTTTGT